CCTGCAACTAATATCTTTGATTCTCACCACACCGTGGCTCTGGTATTATTGTACTCTTCTGAATGAGAAACCGAGATTCAGAGATGATGTAACATGGCCAGTGCCCCCAGATGCAGTTACTACCAACAACGAGGACAACAAAAAACTCAGCAGACTGGATTCGGTTGGTGCAGTTTAGGAGTCCCCAAGACCACCCTCATGTTCCACGATTTACAAAAAAAGACTCACAGAACTCAGCAGAACTGCTATATTCATAGTCGTGGCTCATTATAGCAAAAGAATAGAGATTAAAATCAGCAGAGGGAAGAGGCACATAAGGCAGGGTCTAGAAGAGACCAGGCCTGAGCTTCCAGCTGTGTCTCCCAGAAGAGTTGTGTGGACAGTGCCTGCTTCTCCTAGCAACAATGTGTGGCAACACTCACAATCTTACCAGTCGCAGAAACTCTCCAAGCCAGGAGAGTGTCCAGGGTTTTTATTGGGAATCTGGTCCTGTAGGCATGGCTGGCCACCCCCATGACTGACCTTAGTCTACAGCCCTTCCATGGGTCAAGCTGATACTGTGTGGCCTCGGGCCTCAGGTAAACCAAAACACTCTTATCAGGCAGGACATTCCTTAGAAGGGCTTAGAAGTTCCCTACCAGGAGCTGGGAAATGGCCAGACCTTTCTAGGGTAAGGTTAATCCTTTAATGCACCATTGGGATACTGGGGGACGGGAGGCGAGTCTGTTTCTCATCTTGAATCCTCTCCCACAGGGTTGCTTTCTCATGTTTTGATGGAAGTCACGAAGATACCTGTGGAAGAGGGCCTGTGCACTACAGTCCCCTGCACATTAGAATTTTCCAAAGACTCCCCAAGTAATTCCATGATCACGGGCTACTGGCTCAATAAAAATATCAGCTTCCCTATAGCTACAAACCAGCCCAGTGTTACCAGAGATGACGACACAGATGGAAGATTCCACATTGTTTGGAATCTTGAAGAACCAGACTGTACCCTGCTGATCCACAATGTACTCAAAAAGGACAACGTGACATACTTATCCTATGCAGATCCAGGAAAACAAAAGAGTGCTTTACTGAAGAATATCACACTCTCCATGTCAGGTGACACTCAGTCTCATGCAGTGGGTAGTTTGGAAAGAAGGAACTCCAGAAGGGATTCTGATCATTGTATAGTTTTACCACGCTGGGCGCTGGGCTTTACAAAGCTTAGTGATTCCGTACAAAGAGACGGGTACAATCGATAACTTTATTTTTCTGCCTGGAAATGGCAAAAAGAGAGGAAAGGACGTGCCTAGCAGCAGCATCAAGCCAGGAAGAGATGGAGGCGTAAATGATCCCAGATCAGCGGGGACGGAACGGAGCCAACAGAGAGCTGGATTGGGAGGGAGGAGGCAGAATAAGAGCTGGCCCTAGGAAGTGTAGTCTGGGGGACAGAAAAGGGATCAGAGGCCACGTACGTCCTTAGGAAAGTCACTCACCAGGGTTCAGGTTCGTTCAAGTTCTGCCACCTTAAGACCTCTTCAGTTGACTCACCTAGATAATGGGGTATGCCCCTTCCATTCAGAGAAGGGAAATATGCTTGTGAAGAGCCACCCAACAATAGCAATCCAGAGTCCGTGTGGTTGGATGAGTAGAGGCAGGGTACCAAATGAGCTAATGAGTGGGAACGCACTTCGTAACCTGGAAACACAGTCCAGTGAAGTGTCCATGTCCCCAAATTTGGATCCAATCCCTCTCCCTCCTTCAGATCTGACCCGGAAACCAGAGCTGTACATCCCAGAGAGCCTCGTGGCTGGGAAGCCTGTGACCTTGACCTGTACTATCAGAGGCCCCTGCATAGAAACCAAAGTCCTCTTCCTGTCCTGGAAAGGGCCTACCATGTCCTTCAACACAGATGGCTCCAGCAACTCCTCTTCCTCAGTGCTGCAGTTCACCCCAAAGCCTGAGGACCGTGACACCACCCACCAATGCCGTTTGAACTCCCTGCCTAGCTTGACCAGAAGTAACAACAGCTTCCTTGTGATCTGTGAGTGCTGGTGGGCAAGGGGAGATCTGGAGTCTGGGAGAAATGATAAGCCCGAGAGAAAGACTTGAGTCCTTGTGGGAAGGTGGGAGGTCATCTGTGGAGCGGCCACATGTTACCTGGCTTCTGGGGCTGAAGGGTCAGCTGATCCCGAGTCTGAGACAGATCAGGAGAGAGAGTAAAGGCGAACTGCTCTGAATCCCAGCCCCTCTGAGCTTTCAGAAAGTCTTTCTGAAACTCCTTGTGAATCATGAACAAAGAAAAGGCCGGGTTCTGGAGGAAGCCTGGAACCAAAGTCAGGATGCCTTGCTGACTCCTAACCCTCCCTCTCCACAGCACCTCCCATTCTGTTCTATTCCTCTTGTTCCTTTGGGAAACTTCTACAGTGCAACTGTTCCTTCTATGGAATCCCCACTCCCACTGTGCGGTGGTTGATGAAAGGTGTTCCCGTGAACGTGAACAACATGGATAACGTCCTCCAGATGACTTCCATCATGAGGGCCCCCTGGAACAATAGCACCATCGTCCTCTTGGGGAAGCCAGAAATAGTCATGAGCCTCCTCTGTGAGGGGAGGAACCAATATGGGATCCACGCCTCAAGCATCTTCCTGATACCAGGTAAGTATACAGGGGGTCTCGTGACTGGGCTAGGACAACACCACCTAGGGACCAAGAGGAGGATGAGCACAGGGACAAAGCAAAGAGTAGTAGCTCAGACTTCACAGCCGTAGAAGAGAAAACACTCTCCCTGCCTCTGATTTCAGATAAGAGTGCGGTTTCCAAAATGTTCATGAAAGGTCTGATCCAGGGCATCGTGTATGGATCCACCGCATCGTCGCTCCTCTTCTTCTTCCTCGTCCTCTGTGCGTGAGTATCAAGTTGAAGGTCATGCGCATGCCTTTCTCAAAGCCTGCTCCATCGATTTATGTTCTTTCTGTCTTTCCTTCAAATTCTTCCAGTTTATTCTGCTTTTTCTACTCGCTTATATCATTAAATTGCAGCTATTCTTCTTGTCCAACATTTGATTTTTCAAGGCTATAAATTTCCCTCTAAGCATAACTTTGGCTGCATTTCACAAAATTTTAATATAAAATATTATCATTTAGTTAAAATGTTTCTAATTTCCATTATGATTTTTTGATCCACGGGCTTTTTAAAAGGCATCCATATTTTCTAATAACTCATTTTTTAAATTTCTGGCTAAATCCAGTAAGTTCAGAGAATATACTACGTATGATTTCAATTTCATATTTTCTCTGTGGCACAATTTTTGTTTAGTTGTTTTTTTGTGTATTTTATTTCTCTGTGGCACAATTTTTGTTTAGTTGTTTTTTGTGTATTTTTTTTTTTGGTTGACCTCACAGATTGCAAGGACCTTGTCAGCTTGCAATCCCTTATTTTTTTATTTTGTAAAATTTTTTATGCCTACAGCACCTGGTCTTCCTAGGCGGTTTCCCATCCAAGTACTAACCAGGCCCGACCCTGCTTAGCTTCTGAGATCAGACGGGATCGGGCTTGTTCAGGGTGGCATGGCCGTAGACTTGTTTAGTTTTTATAAATACTCTGTGTGGGCTTGAAAATAGTGTGTATTCTATGCCCATTGAATTCAGTGTTCCACTGATATAGCCTTTCAATCAAGTTCGTTAATCACGTCGTTGAAATCTTCTCTAGCTGTACGGTTACTTCTGCTTGGTGCCTTTCTCGACACTTAATCTCCCATCCCTGTCCCCTTCTGTTACCTGGCTCATGTTAACTCGTCACGTGGGACTCCAGCTCACAGCTCTTTCGTCATGTTCTCCAGGAAACCTTCCCCGGTGCCTGGGTTGGGTATCTTTCCAGAGCACCCATAACCATCTAGTTCTGGGGTATTAGCACTAATGCTTTCACTCTGATGTGACTAAGCATGGATATCCTTTCGTTTGCTGTTATTTACATATTTTTTTTGGCCTCTTCAATTGGTGTTTTAGTCTTTTCTCAATTCTGAGAAATTCTCCACCATTGTTTCTTCAGCTATGACCCCTGCCCTTGTCTTTCACTGGGGGGGGTTCTCATTAACTACTTGTAAAACTTTCTCTCCATCCTTTTCTCTCTTGCCCTATAGTCCTATATTTTCCAGGGACATAGACAAGTAAACAAGTGCTAGGTTAGAGGTCTGTACAAGAAAGATGCAAAGGGAGCCCAACCCCTTCGGTATGTCCATCCTTCGGTAGGGGCGGAGTCCCAGTACCGTCTAGAAACGCTTCAGCTTATCCCTGGGCAGCCTTCCCCGACACGATGCTCCGTCAGCATTATAAATGTTTGTCTCTTCCCCACAGCTCTCTCGCATCCTCCCCCTCTCACTCTTAGCAATAAGGTTTACCTACCTCACCGGAAAAAAAGCAACTCCCAACACCTCCGAAAAGTTATCACCATTGGTGCTAATGATTCACTCCTTGCCTTGTTCAAAGAAAGAGGCATCCCTTTTCCTGTCTGAGGTCAGCCCCACCTCCTGTGCCTGGGAATGCATCTCCTCCACACTCCGTGAATCCTCCCTTCTGTCTCTTAAATTTTCAATCATTCTTTCTCGACTGGGTCTTTCTCAGAAGGATATAAAAATGCCCAAATCTCTCCCGCCTGAGTCCCACCAACTCCCTCTGTGTAACATCCAATATTTTATTTCGAGAGAGTAGCTTACACCCACTTCCTGATGCTCATCACCGTTACATTCTTCAATCTACTGCAATCTGCTCGCCAGCACCAGGCCACCAAAATGGCACTTTCTAAAGCAGCCAGTGATCTTTATTCTCAAAAGCCAATGGCAGATGTTCTGTGTTTCTCTCGTTCATCGTTAAGTGGCATTTATGATGCAGAGGGGTGGGATGAGGCCCTCCTGCCAAGCGTCTCCTTTTCACAGTGAAGGAGTATGGCAAGGCCACCTGCTAAAAGGGATTGCGCAGGAGCAGGGACGAGGGCTAGGGAATTTAAAACGAGAGGGATGGTGGTGCTGCAGGTGGTCGGGATGGCCGCCGGGAAGAATGAACGGGATCTGTACAAGGACGAGGAAAGCAATTGGTAAGCAGCAAATGTCACTTGTGTGTGATGCCTCCTCCTAGAAGTGGTCATTGGAAGAGAAAGTAGGTAACTTTCTCCATCGATCTGGGTTTGGATCTGTGCAGAGTGCCATGAAAGGGTGACGATGTGGGAGACAAGGGAGGCACAGAGGCTGGAGGGAGAGAGCCCTTTGAGTGGGTAGCCATCTGTACGCAGTGGGGTGGGGAAGGAAGGAAGGGACACCCAGATAGTGACTAGAGAGTGCGATGTCTTGGAACTGAAGCTTCCGCCTTCAGGATCAAAGAACAGGAACACGGGATCGGAACGAGAGCAGAAGAAAGCTGGATAGGATAGAAGAACGAGGCAGATCATGAGGTATCGGGATTGAAATTTTCAGAGGTGGAGGAGTTTGGCAGGGATAGTGGACCCTTGGTAGTTAAGGGAGACAAGTTGCATTAGTCAGGACTCTTTCCATTGTGGCAGCAAGAGCTGAACTCCACAAGTTCAAAAAAAAAAAAAAAAAAAGAACGGTTTTGGTTACCTATTGCTTTGTCATTACTCCCTAAACTTAGTGGCTTTAAGCAATGATCATTTTAGTACATCTCACAGTTGCATAGATCAAGAGTTTGGGTCAGGTCCAGCTGGATGATTCCTCTGCTTCCTGTGGCATCTGTTGACGTCACTTGATAGTATTCGTCTCGCAGCTAGGCCGAGATGGAGAGTCCCGGTGCCTTTGCTCACATGCCCGGGGACATTTTGATGGGGACAGCCATAGGCTGGGCTCAGCCGGACCCCTCTCTCTTTTCCCTGTAGCCTCTCATCTCTGCTGAGGCAGAAGTTGCCAGTCCTCTTTAAGGCTAGGCCAGGAATTGACAGAGCATCACTTCTGCCATTTTCTGTTAGAGCAAGTCACAGGCTAGCTGAGGTTTAAGGGGAAAGGAAATAGGCCCTCCCTCTCCACGGGAGGAACGCCAAAACTTCGCAGCCATCTTTAATCTGCCACAGGAATACATCAACCAAGTGTTAAGTCTCAGACTCAAACAACAGATTTGTCTTCTCACAGTTCCGGAGGCTGGAAGTCCAAGGTCACAGTTGCTGCCCCTTCGCACAGCGATTCCTCTGTGACACGTGCCTCTGGTGTCTCTCTCTCTTCGTACAAGGACATCAGTCATATTGGATTATGGTCCTGCTTAACGGCCTCTGTTTAACTTCCTCACCTCTTCGAAGGGCCCCGTCTGCAAGTACAGTCAACCCCCGAACAACGCGGGTTTGAACTGTGCGGGTCCACTTGTACCAGATTTTTGATCGACCCACTCAGTACAAACCCGCATTGCTTAAGGGTCAGCCGTACAGTCACATGGGTTAGGCCCATCCTTATGACCTCATTTAACCTTAATTACCTCTTCAAAGGCCTTATTTCCAAATGCTGCCACATTCAGAGGTACTGGGTGTTGGAACGTCAACCCGAGAATTTCAGGGAAAGGGCACAGTTCAGCCTATGACAAGGAGCATCTGTGACTGGACGCAGGCACACAAACGATGTCTTGTCTGTCCCCATCCTCAGCTTTGCATCTTCCATGTCGACTTGACCTCTGTAGGCTCCCTCCACTCAGCGGGCCTGCTGGCCTGCAGCCCCACGTTCACAGCCTCCCATCTTAGCAACTTTAGCTGAAAGAAAGCTTGTCTTGCTCTTGGTGACATACCAACCACGGAGATAACTCTGATTGTCCCTGCTTGAGTCGCAAGCCCATTCTGGGCCAAGGGCCACATCCAGTTGGACGAGTTCTTTGAGGAGGCAACCCTGAGTCCGCCTTGTCCATTCCCACCGAAACCGCAAGAAAAGCTCCTGTCCGTACTTCCTCTTCGCCCCTTCCACCTCCTGACCAGCCCCGGTGCTTCCCCGTGTGGCCCTGTGTGGCGTGGCTGCCCCTTCTCCCGGGAACTTTGAGTGACAAGGTACCTTTTCAATGGCAATTGTCTTCGGATCTTTTGGCTTCACCAGAGCCAAATACAAACAAAATCCCAGGTACAGTTTAAAATAACTCGAGAAGAGCCGGACTGGGCAAAGCAAGGGGACCGGGCAGCAGGCCTGGGATTGCCAGGGCAGGAGAGAAGAGAGACGGGCCGCGTAATCAGTGGGAGGCCTGCACAACAGAACGCTGCCCAGCTAGCTGTAAAGACAGACAAGTTCTCCGTGCGCTGCTATGCACACATATGCCAGACATATTAAGAGAAAGAAGCAAGGTATATAAATTAAAAAAAAAAAAAATAGATTAGTCCAGAAATAGAAAATTGTATACTTATCGAGATATCAGAGGCTCAGTCATGACCGGCCGCAGGCTGGAGGGCCAGGGCTTCCAGCCCCGGGATGGTGGGGAGCCAGGGAAGAGGCTGGGGACAGGGTCCATGCCACGGGAGTAGGTATTTGTGCCCCAGGTCGACAGAAGGGAGGGCTGGTCACAGCCCACGAGTGGGAGGAGACTTCGTCTCCTGTGCTCCAGCCCAGGGCCCCTTCCTAGAATCGGGCTGAGCACAGGCTCGTTGCCTTAGGAGGAAGGTGCTTAAATGGTGCAAGAAGAGTCAGATCTCCAAGGACAAAGAGTCCCTGACCCTCAAGACGCAGGAGCGGCTGGAGGAGCCGGACAAGGCCAAGGAGACGGACAAGGCCAAGGAGACGGACAAGGCCAAGGAGACCGAAGCGGAAAACTCGCCAGTCTCAGTCGAAGGTCAGAGCCCGGGCCGCGCACACGAGCTGCACGGCCGAGGCCACCAGGGGGCACTCGTGAGAAACAGACTCCCAGGGCCCCCTGGACCCTCCAACCCCAATCCCCGGGGGCCAGAGAGCCCAGAGCGCATGCGCCGCGGGCAAGCCTTCCAGCTCGGGGCGCAGAGAGCCAGGGCTGAGCCTGACGGCCTCTGCCCGGGTCTTCAGGCTGAGCTCCCCTTCCAGCCCCAGGCCCAGCCCCTGCCCCGCAGAGGCCACCCAGCCACCAGCAGCCCCTGCCCTGCCAGGAGAGGGCGGTAAGTACCAGGAAGGGGCTCTGGCAGTCTGTTCAGGCTGCTGTCACAAAGCACCACAGACGGGGCGGCTTCAACCGCAGGAATGTATTTTTTCATGATTCTGGAGGCTGACAGTCGGAGATCAAGGTGTCGTCGGCAGGGCTGGTTGCTCCTGAGACCTCTCTCCTTGGCTCGTAGGCGGCCGTCTTCCGCCCGCGTCCTCACGCAGTCCTCCCTCTGTGTGTGCCTGTGTCCTCGTCTCCCCTTCTTACAAGGGCACCAGCCCTACTGGATCGGGGCCCACCCTCGTGACCTCATTTTACCTTAATTATCTCTTCCAAGGCCTGACTCCAAACGCAGTCACATTCTGAGGTCCTGGGAGTTAGAGTTTCAGTATATGAAAGGGGTGACGCGGGGGGAGACACAATTCAGCCCATCGCAGAGGATGCGGGAGCTGGTTGGATCCCTGCATTTGTGGGGGACTGGGAGAGGGGAAGGGACTTGCCACAGGCAGACGAACGCCAGCATCTGGTTCTCCCACAGTCTAGGGCTCGAGAGACAAGACCATGGACACGCAAACCACAGGACGGATGATGACAAACGGGTAGCTCGCAGGCGTGGCGACCCACCGGCTCAGTCAGACCCGCGCAGACACGCGGGCTCCCTCTCAGAACCCCCACCCCCACCCCAAGGCCTCCATGCGGCCTGCGGCCTATCAGCCTCCCCCAGGGCCTCAGCTGCTGCCTGCCCTCAGGCACACATGACGCACGGAGGGCCCTGGGGGGAGGCGGCCCCAGGAAATGCCCTGCTGCTGTCAGAGGCCACAGGGCCCCTACCAGCCCAGAGCGACAGCGAGTCTCCCGTAGCCTCAGCATCCCGCAGACAGAGGAACGGACCCAGAGCACGGAAGGGGCTCTCTCCGCAGGGCTGCCGAGGACCCCGAGGCCCTGTTCTCCGCACCTGGCTTTGCCAACAGGGAAACTGAGGCTCACAGCACCTCAGGCCATGCAGCAAGCCGCCCCGCTCAGGACACCTAACCCCAGGTCCTTGGTCCCTGTCCGTGGTCCCCTCCCGACCTTAACAGACTCTAGTGCAGCGGATGCAAAGTTGGAACTGCTGGGGGCCAGGCGGGTGCAGCCGCGTCCACCTGGAGGGGGCGCCAGGCAGCAGCGAACTCTGTTCCCACTGCTTTTCCCTGCGCCTCCCAGCAGGAACCAGGTCTCTGGTGCCAGATCCTGTGACTCCCCCCACGCCACCCCCAGGAGAATCCACAGCTTCAGGTTTCCGTGCGAAATATCTGGATTCGAACATGTCACTAATCGAAACCATGTTTTTAGAAAGCAGTACGGGTCCGAGGAAAGCCTCTCCTTTGCAAACCTGATCGGGAGCACAGATATGGAAGGGACACCTCTCCCCGAAGCCACGTCCCGCCAAGGGGAGGTGTCTGTGTACCGAATGCAACCCCCTTGCCGAGTGGAAATGGATTCCCCAGAATCCAGGCGGAGGCTTGGGTGTGGGAGGATACAGAAGTTTCCTGGGTGGAGAAGGGAAGTTCCAGATGACTCAGGGGCCACACAAACCCTGCCCTGGCCACGCTTACATTCTGGAAGTGGGGAGAGCGTGTGTGTATGTGGGGGGGGGGGATTGTTACTCGGCAGAGCACGCGCTACAGAGTCTCCCTAAAGGATGAGAAAGGGTCTGTGCGGAGCTGCTGGGAAGAGCCTGCCAGGAGAGGGGACAGCAAGTGCCAAGGCCCCAAGGCTCGATCGGGCACGGACAGAAGGGCAGAGCAGCTGGGGCCGAGTCGGTGCTGCGGGGCGGTGGCCTGGGCTAGCTCCTGTGTCCAGGGGATGTCGACCTAAGGTGGAGGCAAAGGCAGAGGCCCAGAGACCAGAGCATGAGACAGCGGCAGCTCAGGGCAGGGTGGAGTCGGGAGGAGACAGAGCAGAGATGCGTGCAGGAGGCTGAGCCAGCAGCTCCTGCAGACAGACGACTGGATGTGGGGGACGGATGTGCTTTTGAGGTAAAGCAGCCCCGGTGGGGTGACCTCAAGAATTGCTCCTCCGGCTGCCCCAGACGTGGAGCAGGCTCAGAAACTGCTATCCCCTTGCCTCAGAGGTGTATGTGGGGGACGGGACAGAGTTGCCTCACCTGGTGGGCCGGGAGGGAAGAACGAACTACAGGAGACTGGGGTGCTGGGCAGAGGCAGCACCTGCCCCCCGGATCGCTCATTCTCCTCAATAAGCCTGAGTTGACGCCACCTAGCAGGGGAGGACACGCAGGTTCTGGGAGGAGAAGTGACTCGTCGAAGGTCACACAGCCAGGTTCAGGAAGTAACGAGGGGTCGTCCGGACCCTGGATTACCGTCTCCTCCCCGCTCCCAGCCCCGAGGTCAGGGCCCCCGTCCCTCTCCATTGCCCCCTTATCCTGAGGAGGAGTCGGGGTAAGAGGAAGAAGGAAATGTCATCCCCAAAGTCAATGTTATTCATGAAAGTAGAGAAGCTGAGCTGCGTCCCACAGGAAGAGGGGCTGGGGGCGGAGGGGCTGGGTGACAAGACTCCTCGGTCTGAGGGAACAGGGAGCGGGGACCTGGACTCCTGGTCTGAGGGCGGAGGGGCTGGGGACCCGGACCCCTGGGTCTGAGGGCGGAGGGGCTGGGTGACAGACTCCCGGCTCTGAGGAAGGGTGACATTGGGACCCGAAGCAGGAGGGAGCTGGGCTCCAGAAGAGTCCCGGACCGCGGGTTCCGGGGGTCGAGGGGCAGGAGGCGGGCCGCCCGCGGCGGGAGGGTTGGGGGCCGGGCCGCAGTAACAAAGGCC